CGATGTTCAAAAGAACAAATCACTGCCTAGTCCAGCCCCATCCTCACAACTGTCATATGTTTGAGCATGCTGTTGTAGCTGCTGTCAGACCATCACGGGGAGGACCCTCTTCCTTTTCATGATCCTGCATCAAGCATGATGTCCCCGCCCAGGCCCTGCTCTCCACTGATAGCATGCCCCAGGTTTCCCACTCAGGAAAGATAAAACATTGGCATGTTTTTAAAGTTTATAAAATTCCTGGTATTTTCATTTTATATGTAATTGTATACTATGAATATATAATTATTGCACTATTTTCTAAAATTTTATTTCATATTATTTGTTCTTGTGATTCTTGTATTTTTCTTCAAGATTTTCCAGGAATTTACTCACTCACTTCACTGTTCATGAAACTTATCCCTCTTCTAATACCCCATGGTTTTCCTGCTGGCAAAAATATTAGATCCATGATGTTAATGTGTTATAGTACCTATTGTATGTTAAATATGGAGCCCTGGTAGTGTACTGATTAAGCTTTGGGCTGAGATCCTCATGGCCTGAAATTCAAAACCACCAGCAAATCTCAGGGAGAAAGAGGGCTTTCTAATCCTGTAAACAGTTAGTCCAGAAAACCCACAGGGGGTCTCTGAGTCAGCATTGACTCGGTGGCAGTGAGTGTATGCCAAATGTGAGCAATCTTATCTCACATGTTTTTACAAGAAATTCTGGAACTTTTTATGGTGTATATTTCACATTTTAATATTTTATTCCTTGGAATTTATTTTTCGGTATGGTGTAAGTAGGGACTTAACATTTCCCCCAAATCACTATTTTCAGTTTATTTTGTACCACTTATTGGGTGACATTCAACCATTTCAAGAGCATATGAGCAAGAATCAATGGTGCTGAAGGAAGAAGTCCAAGCTGTGCTGAAAGCATTAGCCCAAAACAAGGCTCCAGGAATTGATGGAATACCAATTGAGATGTTTCAACAAGCTGATGAAGCACCGGAAGCACTCACTTACCTGCCAAAACATTTGAAAGAGTTCTACTTGGTGAACTGATTGGAAGAGATTCATATTTTACCCCTTCTAAAGAAAGATAACCCAACAGAATGCTCAAATTATAGAAGAATATCATTGATATTACATGCAAGTAAAATTTTGCTGAAGATCATCCAACAATGGTTTCTGCAGTACAATGACAGGGAGCTTTCAGAGGTCTAGGCCAAATTTAGAAGAGGATGTACATGAAGAGCTATCATTGTTGATGTCAGATGCATCTTGGCTGAAAGCATAGAGTACCAGAAAGATATTTCCTTGTGTTTTATGGACTATGCAAAGGCATTTGACTGCATGGATCAATAACAAACTGTTTATAATCTTGAGAAGAATGGGAATCCCAGGACACCTTCTTGTGCTCATCTAGAAATTGTTCATGGATCAAGAGGCAGTTGTGTACAAGCCGAACAAAGGAATGCTGCATGGTTTAAAATCAAGAAAGGTGTGGGTCAGGTTTGTATACTCTCATCATACTTTTTCAATCTGTATACTGAGAAAATCATCAGAGAAGCTAGATTATATGAAAGAAGAATTCAGCATCAGGATTAGAGGAAGCCTTATTAACAACCTGAAGTATGCAGAAGACACAAATTTGCTCGCTGAAAGTGAGTAGGTCTGGAAGCACTTGCTGATGAAAATCAAAGATTGCAGCCCTCAGTATGAATTACAACTCAATGTAAAGAAGGCTCAAATCCTCACAACTGGACCAGTAGGTAACATTGTGATAAATGGAGAGAAGATTGAGGCTGTCAAGGATTTTGTCTTGCTTGGATTCACAATAAATGCTCATGGAAGCAGCAGTCAAGAGATTAAAGGATATGTTGCATTGGATAAGTCTGCTGCAGAAGACCTCTTTAGAGTATTGAAAAGCACCTTTGAGGACTAAGGTGCACCTGACCCAAGCCATGGTATTTTCAATTGCCTCATATGCATGGGAAAGTTGGACATTGAATAAGGAAGACTGGATAAGAATGGATGCATGGATGTATTTGAATTATGGTTCTGGTGGAGAATATTTAAAATCCCATGGAGGGGTGGGTCCTGCTGGTGTAGTGGTTACATGTTGAGCTGCTAACTTTGAGGTAGCAGTTCAAAACCACTAGCTGCTCTGATAGAGAAAAGTGAAGCTTTCTACTGTAAAAAGTTAGTCTAAGAAACCCACAGAGCAGTTCTACTCTGCCCTATACAGTCACCATGAATCAGAATTGACTAGATGACAGTGACTTTGTTCTGTCTGTTTTATGGACTGCCAAAAGAACAAACACATCTGTCTTGGATAAAGTATGGCCAGAATGCTCTTTAAGGCAAGGATGGTGAGACTCTGTCTTGAGTACTTCAGACATATTATCAGGAGAAACCAGTCCCTAGAGAAGGACATTATGCTTGGTAACGTAGAAGAGCATCAAAAAAGAGAAAAGCCCCTAATAAGACAGATTAACACAGTGACTGCAACCATGGGCTCAAACATCAATGTAAATGAGGGGGAGCATGGAGTGGAGACCCAAAGCCCATCTGTAGACAATTGGACATCCCCTTACAGAAGGGTCACAAGGAAGAGAGGAGCCAGTCACAGTGCAGTGTAGCACCATTGAAACATACAACTTTCCTCTAGTTCTTTAATGCTTCCTCCCTCCCACCCACTATCATCAACCCAATCTATCTTATATATCCGGCTAGACCAGAGCATGTACACTGGTAAAGATAAGAGCTCACAACACAGGGAATCCAGGACAGATAAACCCCGCAGGACCAATATTGAGAGTAGTGATACCAGGAGGGTAAGGGGAAGAGGGGGGGGGAGAAAAGGGGGAACCGATCACAATTATCTACATATAACCCCCTCCCAGGGAGATGGATAACAGAAAATTGGGTGAAGGGAGACATCATTCAGTGTAAAACATGAAAAATAAATTTTATAAATTATCAAGGGTTCATGAAGAAGGGAGGGGAAAAATGAGAAGCTGATACCAAGGGCTCAAGTAGAAAGGAAATGTTTTGAAATTGATGATGGCAACATATATAGACAAATGTGCTTGACACAATGGATGGGTGGATGGATTGTGATAAGGGCCCCAAATAAAATGATTTTAAAAAACAACCAGAAAAGTGGGTTTAACCATGAGAGCCGTTGTGAGGATACGGAAGGACCCGTCAGTATTGAATTCTTTGTCCTCAGGTCACTCGGAGCCAGCACCAACCCGATGGCACCTAAAAACAATGGTAGTCGCGGCACATTTGAGTCTTTATTTGAGCACTCTGCACCATGCTATGGTTCTTTCTGTCTATGATTCTGGATACATTTTGATTCCTATGTAGACTCCCTCATTTACTTTTCCAACCCTAATCACACTGACATCATGTACTTAGTGTTTTGGGGCACATGTAATTTGTTTCCCAGGTGATGGGGAGAACTGTTTGGCCATGTCCCATTTGGTAACTGATAACTTTTAAGATACTTTTTAGCATCAAAGAAACACGGAGAAAACTAGAATTAGTTTCCAAATTCAGAAATCTGTATATTATCTAGATTACAATATTTCTTTTTTATTTACAGCTCCATTACCAGAATATTGCTTCAATGTTTGTTAATTTACTCTTAGAATAGCATTTGCATTAGATACTACTTCTAATGAATTTCCACAAACCTGATTCAGCACTGATCCTGACATTATTCTTCATGAATTAGAATTCGTTTCCTGCGCAAACAATGCACCTGGATGCAGCCATGGCTGTGTTCTGACATCAGGTGGTCCCATGTGTTTCTGCCCGGAGGGTTCAGCACTTGCAGCAGATGGGAAAACGTGTACTGGTAAGCTTACTTATTTTTGCTTGAAAACCCTCAGTTTGCAAAAGTTCCACCTAACGGTTGGTCTTATTGCCAAAGGAAAGTCAATTTTCCCACACTGTAAGATATTTATGCAACAGATTGATACCACTCTGAAAGGTAAGGTCGTGATCATTCTCAAGACTCGTGGCATTACTTTGGACTAGGAATGCGAGCTCCGTCCATGGGTCTCATTTCCCTCCGGTGTCAAGATGAATTATTCCTGCCTCCTAGATGTGTGGCCAGCATTGAACAAGATGGCACATGCAAAGTGATGAGATGTTCTTCACACCTAATAAGTACTCAAAGAAATACCCTTCTCTATTTTTATGTTCCTAGAGATGTAGGCATTTGGGAGGCTGAATATATAATCGAAGAGTGACTTTTTAAAAAATAAAAAATGTAAAAGAACTAAATGAGCCCTAAATGTAAAGGAAAAAATATGACTCCCTATGAAAAGTTAGACCAACTACCAAATGCACCTAAACGTCTTTATTATTCCCGCCAGCTACCAGTGCCATGTTCTTGAATGTAGTGATGGAAGAAGAGCTATTTGTGAAGATTTAACACCCAAGATTTATGGTTATAGGGAAATGGGGTCCAGTGGCATTTTGCTCCTGGTCTCTGGAAAAATCAGCTGTTTGCATTCTGAATGCTCATGGACGTGGCTTTTAGAAATCAGCATATACTTGGCTCACTTTAACCCACTGATGAAAATTTGTTATGTGGAATCTTTACCAAGCAATTGTCATCTCTGTAGGTTGTTCATCATCTGACAATGGTGGGTGCAGCCAGCTGTGCACCAACCTCAGCCCAGTGTCCTGGGAATGCAGTTGCTTTGCTGGGTACGACTTGCAGAAGGACAGAAAGCACTGTGCAGCCTCAGGTTAGTGCTATGGCTGTTTGAGAAGAGCCGGCAAAGCAGCGTTCATTTAGTCAGAGAGATCATTGGATTGCTTTTGGATTCTGGCTAGAAAGTTTGATTATACATTTTTTTGAAAATAGAGAACTGCGTGCTTCCATATAAAAAATAACCTTTTGTCTTCAAGAATATTTGCACGTTAATTAGCATCCAATAAAGATTTGCCACTGCACCAAGCAAAGTATTCAGTGTGTGGAAAAGTCATGGCCAGGGTAGTCTTAAAGCAATTTTAAGTTAAGCAGAATTTAATAAGTGTTTGCTGATTGACTGTTTTGATTTTCATCTTCCTGTGATGGTAATAATCATAATACTTTGACAAATTCTGGGCTTTTCATGTCAAAATTTAATATGAAGGCATATGATTCAGATTTTTTTTTCATATTCCAATATCACATCTCCATATCCTTCAACAGCTTTGGAAATCCTAGACTTATTATCCTAAATAGGTTTCATTTCTCCAGAAGGTTGATTATGCTTGTGGTCTGGGATCATATGATGATGACCCTACACTGCTTGCTTTTCTCACAGATTCCAATACTCTTTAACTTCTCAGCACTTCAGTGAACATTGCATAATCTAAATCCTGAACATTGACAGGTGTCTTGCGATGAATGCAGACAAACATGCCCCTCTTGTAGAAATGCCCTGCCAGGCAAGAATATTTACATGGATATGATTGTACATGATGTGCTGACATGTTTCAGTGTGCTATTCAAGGAAAGTACCACATAAACATCTATACCATTTGGCTGTGATCATTAGAGTCCTTAGGTGATGTCGATGATTAAGTACTTGACTACTAGGCAAAAGGTTGGTGGTTCAACCCCACTCAGAGATTGATGGCTCAGGAGACTCACTTGGCCACCTACTTCTGAAGCACCATCGCCTCAAAATGCCCATGGAAGTGGGCCTCAAAAACCCGACAGCAGACACCTCTATTCTGCACACATGGGGTCACTGGGAGTTAGAATCAACCTGGCAGCAATTAACAACTACAGTGTATTAGTTGTGTAATACTAGCCTGTCTTTGAACAATGCACATATTATTTTAAAACATTTTTATTACTATGAGTTCTATTTTTTTATTTTGTTGTTTAAATAATTATGTTGGCATATGCTTTACATATCATACAATTTAATTGTCCAATCATATTAGGAAGAGTTGTGAATCATCACCACCATCAATGTCACAACATTTTCTTCTCATGCAACCACACCTGCCATGTCCCTAGACAGTTACTGTTTCTATAAACTCACTCTCATCGTGTCGTTGCTGACTTGCAGTGACTCCCTGTGGGTTTCTGAGGCTGTAACTGTTTATGGGAGTAGAAAGCCCACTCTTTCACCTGCCGAGCTGCTGGTGGTTTTGAACTGCTGACCATGCAGATTGAAGCCTAACTCATAACCACTACATCATTAGCGCTCCTCCATAGATATACCCATTCTGGATTTCATATATGGAAAACGATACAAAGCAAAACATGACTATACAGCGGCACAAAGCAAACAAGCAAAAACCGTAAGGAATAATATGCATTTTAAAAGCAGAAACCCAAAGGTGGAAGAATCTAATAACGAAATTCTGGTACGTTGTAACCTCCTGGGAGAGGAAGTCTTACTTTACTTACCCTGTGCCATGAGGATTTTTACAAAAACATTACAGAAATTAAGGAAGAGAATGTTCTGAAAGGAAGGCACCCCAAGGCATATTTTCATGAAGCCATATTTATAATTTTGTTAACAGGGCCACAGCCGTTTTTGCTGTTTGCCAATTCTCAAGATATTCGACACATGCATTTTGATGGGACAGATTATGAAACCCTGTTCAGCCAGCAGATGGGAATGGTTTTCGCCGTAGATCATGATCCTGTGGAAAATAAGGTATGGCTGTGTCACGGAGCAGGTGCGGATGTGTTTAAGGACAGAGTGGAGGAGTTCATCCTACCAGATGTTACTAGCTACTGAAACATCTGCTAAACTCCATTGTCAGAAAAAAGTTAAGTTTTGATATTCTAGAATCATTTGACAAATTCTAAGGATTTTCTAAGGTATCAAAGCCCATTAAAATGTTTCAAATGATTCTCCAATAAGGGCTTTCTAAGTTCTCTAGGGGTCCTGGTACGGCAGCACGTTATGGATTGGGCTGCTGGCTGCATAGTTGGTGTTCAAACCCACCAGATGGAAATAGAGATGAGGCTGTCTGCTCCCGTGAAGATTTGCTGTCTCAGACATCGCGGAGCGGGTCGACTCTGTCCTGTAATGTTGCCAGGAGGAGCACTTGACTTGATGGCCGTGGGTTGGTTGGGTTGGGTTGGGTTGGGTTTCTAAGTTATCTTCCCGCTACCCTGGTCCTCACTGGTCTCCAACCATTTTGTTGGGGATGAAGCTGGCACAGTATTTTGTTTGGGGATGAGGCTAGCACAGTTGACATGACAGAAAGTCCACAACATGTGATGTGTTATTTTCTGGTGGTAGGAGATGGGGTGTCTAGAGTACAGCAAATATGAATTCCTCATTTGTTTTTAATATATGCCACTGAAAAGAGGCATGCAGGGACCTCTTAACCACAAAACCCAGAAAACATAACTATTAAGGATGGTGATGGAAGTGGCCATCAAGCTCATAAATAGTAAATTTTACATGAATTTTTTTTAGCATAACATTGACTTTCTATGTTATCAACTTAATTCACTGGCTATTTGATCTTTACTTTCCAGTTGTATTTGTACCAGGCTTGCATGCACTTAAAATATGGTACAGCATCTTTTGCATTAGTTTCTCAGTAGCTTTAACTCTGTATAGCTGTTGATCTCCCCATGTAAGTATTAGAAGCTCTTGTTTCACAGTGGTTAAAGCACTCAGGTGCCAGCTGAAGCCACCAGCCACTCGGTGAGAGAAAGAAGGGACAGTCTATAAAGATGGCGGCCTTGACGAGTCCACGGGGCACTTCTGCTCTGTCCTGTAGAGTCGCTGTGAGCTGACAT